ATTGAACTACTTGATTTTTAATACATTTCAGTCAGTAAATACAGAATATAAGCATATTAAAGTGGAGAGGTTTATAGACAGCATTTTTCTATTAAGAATTGTTAAGAAAATGCTTGAAAATGAAATGCGCTGACAACTAGAACTGGAGCAGATGCATATAGTACCATTATAGTACATTGCGCCATCAATTATGTGTCAAGTGTGCTGCCAAATATTAAGTGTTCTGACCTTTGTTATTAATAATGGAGGCAGACACTGGGGACATGTGAAAGACAAATGTAATGCGTGGAAAATCTATTATAGATTTGATTTTGTTAATGGATACAGAGCTTATTTGGTATTCTGACCCTCCCCTTGAAAACGATAATTTTATGAAAAACTGGACATACCATGTAATGGAAAGCCACATTGTGAAAAACATAAGTAAAGGATAAAATGTTCCTAAGTTAAATAAATAATAGTGAGACTGTGCTTGTCATCAAGCTTTACTGTTTTATTTATATGTGTATTTGACGTTTCCCCTGTTCCTCGGGAAATAACATGGAAGATGTGAAATGAAGCAAGCTTGTCTTTACTGTGTTCTCCATTTGTTCTTGTATTTTTAAGTTGTTATTTTCCTCAGTATTATCTATCATTTTGTAGAGATTGGCTAGTCAAAGGTTTAGTCTTTCTCCAGAATATAGCTTGTAGCTTTTTTAGGTGATCATGTAGGTCAACGTTGATAATACCTAAAAATGACAAAACCAGTAGAATGGCAAACCAAAGGACAGAGATAAACACTGATGAAGGGGAGTGGTGGTATTAAAAAAAAGGGGGGGGGGGCAGGCATAAACCCCAATCCCTTAACTGACTTAAAAGAGCAATGAAAATAGAAAACGTGGGACAGAGAAAACTTCCTCTGCAGGCACTGACAATACTGATTTGCTGCTTCTTTCTCAAAGTAGAATATAGATCCCAGTATGTCTTGCCAGTAAAACATTAAAGCAGTTGGTTTTCATGTGGAAAACTCATTTTAGAAAAAAAAAATTTGACTTTCGTATAAAGCAGTTGTTTTCAGGATTTCATGTGGAGTGCACTGCAACTGATTATATGAAAAACAGTGGACTGTTTACATTTATCAAAAGATTACTTTGGTCCTGAAAGTTGTAGAATTTCTCTTATCGCAACATTTGTTAATGTTATATTACTTTCAGACAATAGAACAATTATTTGGGAGTTTTTGTTTGTTTGTTTAAGCTTAAGATTACATTTGGGAATAACTAGCTTGGTGACAGTAATTGCATCTACAAACACTGTTTCTCTCTAAACTTCTCTATTCTGGACTTGCATAAGATTAATGAAAACTTATAGCTCCTCTGATTTGTAGTACCTTTTCATTGATGTTACTTTCTTTGTGTCTTGTCATAAATTCTGAATAGGTGTTGAAGTCTAGATTTCCATTGCAAAACCATTTTGAGGTTTTAAATTTTTTTCGGTGTCCTACACTAAAAGCCAATGCACAATTAAGAAAGAGTAAAGAATTTGGAATAGAAGGTAGGGACTGAGACGGTATATTTTTGTGAAATTAACCAAAATTTGGACAAAATAAAAAATGTTGCCAGACAAACTATTATATTTACAGAAGCAGTTGTATTCCTCTCTTAAACATTTAGACACTCTTTTTGACAATCCTTAATGATCTGATGCATTTGCTGTATGCACGACATACTCTTCTAATCAACCAGAACAGAAGATTTCGTTTTATGTTCATGTCAACAATAAAGTTTGACTGTTGTACAAAATGAAATCAGTCCACAAGCTCCTTACACATATGTTCCTTTAAGCAGTTTGACACAGATGAGAGTAATTTGCTGCAGTTAAAAAATACATGCCTTTCATAGACTTACAGGGAATATACCAGGAAGAGATCATTGATCTGTGTGTCAAGGTAAAATTGGAAACATATTGAAAAATCAACATATATTTTCTATTCTTTTTTTCCCTAACTCTGGGCATTGCGTGTACTGTATTTAGTATACATGTATGGATTTCCTTCTCCCTTTCTTGCTAAATCTGGAGAAGGGGGAGAACAAAAGCCCTCTAGTGATCAAGTTGGTTTCCCACAGTGTATTTTTATGTTTGAATTGAAGCCATCTTTACAAGCAAATGGCTTTATTAAAGTAAGCACAAAATAATGCAGAGACAATAATGATGATTCATCTTTTTTTTGGGGGGGGGGGGGGAAGTAATTTTATATATCTGCTCCAGAAATTGTTTTCCTTTTATTCATATTAAGTGAGCGCTTCATGTTGTAGGTACATGGCACACTGGCCCATGGAGTGTCCAGGAAGAAATGCATTTGAAAATAATACTTTATTAAATTTGATACAATACTTTCTTAAAGCCACTAATTTCTTCATGTTTTCACTTTTATTCATATCTATCTTATACATGTATACCAAATTTTCTGTCCAGCTGGAAACGACATGACTTGATTTCCTGACCGAAGAGGATTTCATCAACACACATTATTTCTAACAAACATAACCTGTTTTCTGCTCCATACCCCAGCTTCTTACCAACTAAGTAATTTTGAGTTCCAGTTCTTGATGATCTAGGCCTGTACCTTGAATATCTGAAACAGCAATAGCCAACATTTTGTCTACAGTGAGCTGCACGGCTTTTTGAGGGATTCATCAAAGGTTGGTGAACCTTTGGTTGGATTCTTTTTCCATGTCACCCCATGGCTTGCTAGGACCTCCTAGGATCAGTTGCTAGATGGGTAAACAGAGTTTCCATTTCTGGAAATCATCAGCCTTTTACATAACAGGCTGGGATCTAGCCTTGTGACACGCTGCCTCCATGCTGTGATCTACTGTGCCATGCGTGTTCCCGTCGTGTGGCAGGCACGCATCAGCGATGCCGGCATTTACCGCGCTGGTGCAGCGACCCACTTCCCATTACTCAAGCGGCATGTGGCGCGGTGCTTTCAGGAAACAGCCGGGCAGGAATGAGGCTACTCCAACCTCTTTTCACCTCTGGAGAGAGATGAAAGCGAGCAGACGGTGGCCAAACTGGTTGTTTCTTCAGCTTGGACTGTTGTCTGTGACCCACTGATTGAGAACCTGTGTGGTATCCCGCAAGGAGAGCGGTGGTGGTGGGGTGCAAGATGCTCTGTGTTTCTGACGCGTTTGAAGGCAAGGCCCCAAGATACTGCTTGCTGGGTGGCTTGGGTCATAGATAACCCTTGCTATGCAGGCAGGGAAAGAGATGAAGTCCTGAATAAGTGCGTTTCTGAGACTGATATCTTGACTGATGAAACCTCCCATGACAAAGCAGTCTGTCGTGATACTGTGGTTGGCCAGGCTTTAGTGAAAACATTTGGTTTTTATTTTTACTCCATAACACTTTGACGTATAAAGTGACTTTGAAATCTGCATTAGCTTTGGCTTCTGTAGTTGCAGAAACGAGGCCTGTGAATCTGCCTTACTGGGGTGTTTCTCGTGGATTTGGTACCTGATCAGGAAGTGGATGCAACAGCACGTGCCATTTTGTACGCTTTTAGTTTATTGTGAGACAAGGAGCAGTTTTGGTTCAGGTGAGCTAGTTCGCAACTAGTTGTTTTACGTAATGTTCAAAATCACTGAATTAAAAGAACGACTTCTTCGTTAATAGTGGAGTTTGATAAGGAATCTTAAATTTTATTTTGTATAGTTTCATATTTCTAGTTTTAGACACACGTTTTACACCGTTACAGCCTGGTGTTTTTTGGACAGGGGCAACAGTTTTGTATTAACCAGTAGAGAGTCTGCAGCCAGTTGCTAGACACTTTTTACAAAGTGTATTTTGTGTCTCACACTGCCATCTAAGGGCCACGGAAGCTGAGAAGGTGGCTAAAGGTTCTTCAGTACTTTTCTTTCTCCTTCCTGCCCTTCCCTTTGGAAAGTCAGCAATTCCTGGATGAGAAGGCTGGGCAGGGAACAGCAGCAGTCTTTTGGTTCAATATGTTGTTGCATCTAAGAGAATAAAGGAATCTTCCAGATAATTGAGAAATTAGAATGGAAATCTGAGTCTTTTAGGAAAATGTAATTGCAATGAGTTTGTGTATGAGCCAGCAAATAAGAAAGTGGGCTCACAGCGTTTGAGGCTACTCTTGAAACAACGATTTAAGCAGTGTAGTGCTTAGAGCCCTGAAGAGTTTCAGCTAAGATTCTTAGCATGAGGGAGTGTGCAGTTTGGATTCTTAAAGGTACCAAAATCCTTGACTCCTACTGACTTAAGGATTAGTGCTTTATAATAGAATTTGCTTATTAAGGTTTTCACTGAAAAGGTACAAAATAACAGAATTATTTTCTTCTTTTTTTCTAATTTCACTGGGTTTGCATTTCTGGGTGTTTCAATTTTCATGGACTAAGGGAAAATGGGCAAAAATTTGGTGTTACTTCAAGAGTATGCGATACTGAGGGAACTGGGGTTGTTCAGTCTGGAGAAGAGGAGGCTGAGGTGGGTTACAACTCACAACTACCTGAGAGGGGGTTGTGGCGAGGTGGGTGTTGGCCTCTTCTCCCAAATAACTAGTGACAGGACGAGAGGAAATGGCCTCAAGTTGTGCCAGGGGAGGTTTAGATTGGATATTAGGAAAAATTTCTTCACTGAAAGTGTTGTCAAGCATTGGAACAGGCTGCCCAAGGAAGCCATCATGAAAACTTTTCTTTCCACAATAAAAATGCCCTTTTTTTTTTTTTGTTCAATCTGCAAACTGTACTAGTATAGGCTTAATTCTATAGCTCCTTTTTTGTACATGTTTTCAACTACAAGTATGATAAAGAATCAGTAGCAGAAGCAAAATATTTCAGTATTTGTTACGGTACTGTTGGCATTGACTGACAAAAGCAGTTTTTGTAATGAGGACCCCTTTGAGCACAACTTTATTTTACAATGTTTGAGTTGTTTTTCAGGCTAGTTTCCAGCAAACCTTGTGTAATAGAGAAAGTAATTAATCTTGCATGTTACTTTGACAGGCTCATGCAAGCAAAGACCTGGAAGAGCAGTTGCGGTCTGTGTCCAGTGTGGATGAACTCATGACAGTACTTTACCCAGAATACTGGAAAATGTTCAAATGTCAATTGAGGAAAGGAGGTTGGCAACACAACAGGGAACACTCCAGCTTTGACACAAGATCAGATGATTCCCTGAAATTTGCCGCAGCACACTATAATGCAGAGATCCTGAAAAGTAAGTACAGGACACAAAACACGTTCTAACGCATCATAAATTAAAATCCAAAGCCTTGTCAGTTGTGTCAAAAATATTTTAGAATCTAAGCATCGTCAGTTAAACTACCTCCATAGTTCCATTTGATGTAATGCCTAATGGAATAAATCGCTCCGCAGAGCTGGTTTTGGTACATCCATTGTAGGAAAGGTACAAACTACTTTCCTAGCTCAGTAGATACAAGAAGTTAAGTGTTTGTCTTCAGGTTGTAAGGAATCCTGCTTTGTAGAGGCTGTAATGATTTTGCAGAAAGCAAAGAGGGTACTAATAGTGGATTCATTGAACTGTTTCTGCTCTTTTTCTGCAATTACGTCACAGCTGGTAATGCTTTCTTCTCTCATGTTACTGCTTTAGGAGGCCAAATAATCCACTTGTAGCTTTTTCCTGTTACAAGAGGGCAGTTGTCATGATGTTACGCTGCAATCGGAAAAAAACAGCTTTGAAACAAATATGTCAATACCCCCTAGTGTTTCAGATGGCCTGGATAAAAATATAATTAGCTTTCAGTTTAAGCAAGTGTTTGCAGGTAGAGGAACACAAGGGTTATAGCAGGAGGTGTATTTTTTCACATGATATTGAAAATCATCTACCCTAATGGAGACATTAAGGGAGGTGAAATTTCCATTTTCACTGGGTTGCCTAACAAAAACTAGCTCCAGGAGATAATAAAGGGCCTGTACAGCTGCAAGTCTCAGGGCTGTTTAGTGTAAGATTGCATTTGGCAAAAGGCTCTGTAACACTGTGTAAAACGTTTACCCAAATTTGTGTGTGAGATCTGGGCACAAATACCACCTTTCAGATTAAATCATATGGTCTACATAATTGCTAAATAATAACATTTTGCTTTAAATTATACTCTTGTAGTTAACAAAGTAAACATGTATTCAAACTAATTTCACATTAAGTATGTAGGCATCAAATTGAATGTTTTTCATATATAGTATCCAAGTGAAGTACTGTGTGGGACTGGTTAAGATTACTTTGCAGAGATGTGCAGTACTTTTAGACTTCACTCAAAGTGGGGCTCACTCCAGGCATAGGAGAAAGGACACGTGCAGCTTTAGCTATGGATGTCCTAAGATCTGCCCAACTTTGTTAGGTTCCCTTTAACTCCACTGTGACTTTTCTGCTTCATGACAGTATGTCACATCCCTATGAAGAAGAAAAAGTAGCTAGAAGTTAACACACAGAGATGTGTGTTTCACTGAATAAAGGGTGTGACTAGCAATGGACATTCTGGTTCTAAACTTAAAAAAAAATCCTACTCATTTACTGCAGGAGAGTATTGTTTTTGAACAGTTACTATATAACACGTGAAATTCCCTATAACTTGGCAGGTATTGATACTGAATGGAGAAAAACTCAGTGCATGCCACGTGAAGTGTGTGTGGATGTGGGAAAAGAGTTTGGAGCAACTACAAACACCTTCTTTAAACCCCCATGTGTATCCATCTACAGATGTGGAGGTTGCTGCAATAGCGAAGGACTCCAGTGTATGAATATCAGCACAAATTACATCAGCAAGACAGTAAGTTCTCACACTTATTATAGTCCAAATGCTCGTTGCAAATTCATTTATGATCATGCATATTTTAAACCTTCTTATTGCTACTGTGAGGAAGGAAAATAAGTAAGTTCCAGAGTTGGAAATCGGAAATACGTAGGAAAAACAGCTGAGGAGACTACTGCCTGGAAGAAAACATTTAACACTTTTTTTCCCCCCAAATATATATGGGGGAAAAAAAAAATTAAGATGTCCTGTTCTCAGTTTTCAGATTCTCCATGAAACTAAATTCTAGCCTTTTTTTGGCATCTACCATTTGCCTACTGTATGAGGCAAGCACTCCCTGGAAAACTAGCCTGTAATTTTATTAGCAAAGACTGTTTTAGGACATATGCAGACAGGATACATGATGCAAATAAAGCCTTTTAGGAACTGAACTTTACTGTATTAAGAGATATTAGTATAATGTACCCATTTGCTTTGTTCTAATGCATCTTCCTCAGGTGTATGTATGTTCTTTATTCTTCCGGTTCAGGGCTAGTGATCAGGTAGGAGTATGCAGAGATTATGCATTAAGCCTGTGAGCTGCCTTTGAAGGAAAAGCATATATGCATTATTCTATTTTATGTAGCTATAACAATTATCACATTATATTGCAACAGTATTTCCCCCAAAAATGTGAAAATAGTCATGCTTCAAAACGTTTTCTTTGGGTATTTTGGTTTTGTTACAGTATTTGGTAGGTTTTTTGTTGGTTGTGGGCTTTTTCTCTTTTTATCTCGTCTTTATGGTACTTCGAAGAGAACTAATTTTAGCGTAAATCTTGCTTCCTTTTTCAAGTAGATTCATCTAGCTGAAGATGCAGTACATGTTTATAAGGTAGACACACAACTGCAAAGCTGTAAAACTATAAAATTGTAGCCCATGGAAATGTCATTTCTTTATCATGAAACTTCTTTGTACTCTGAGCCTTCTTGAGAGGGGATTACGAAAAGGGGATGTAAAGAAAACAGAAAAAGCCTATTTTTTAAAAAAATACATTTTCTGTCCTCATTTCTCACCAAATCTGTCTGTCTGAATTTTCAATCCTAAGTGTGAGCTAGTGGTAGACAGCCACAGAGCACAGGAATAATGTAACTCAAATAGCTTAAATGAGGAAAACCACAACATTGGTTTTGTTCAAGCTGTAGTTGGTCCCACAAACAACTGTCCTAATTCCAGTTGCTTTAAAGATGCAAATGTACTTTTCGTGTTATAATTTTTTTTTAAAAGTATTTATAAAGTTTAACTTACTTCAATAAAGGATGGTCTAGTTACAGAGAGAGTTGTTGCATTTAGCACAGATTTTCTGGTCTTCGAGCACCATGTCAGTTTGGGGTAGATAATCCCTTTCTGTTCAGTTTTCTGTTCGTATGTATTGAGTGAAGTAATTTTTTTGCCTAGTAGAAAGTCTTTAGACTAGCACTTAGTTTCTTTTTTTAAGTTCTTGATGTCATTGCTGATGGTATGTTATAGGAGTAGTTAAAGATTTGAGAGTCTCTGAAAAGAAAAATGTTAAAGGACTTATCAGAAAGAAGAAAGCAGCAATAACACTGTTTTGTTTTCTTACCTATTCTGTAAAAGCAAGCAATTTAATCTCTGAGTTTTCTATCTTGCTTCTGCTTTCCAGTTTTATCTGGTCCTTGACAGAATGCAGTTTTAAAAAAAAAACCTTAAAAAGGAAGAGAGCTATAGCTATATCTCTTCATCATCTCAAATCTTTTTAAAGTTATGTGACCACAGCTTGCCCTATATCAGATGAGAATTAGGAGGAAAAAAGTATTGGATTCAAGACCCTTCTGTGGAATTCAGGTACCCTACACACCTATTTTCACTACTGTTTTCCTTTTATTATCCTGAGTTAAATGAGAACAAATGGTTTTTTGGTTTTTTGGTAAGTCACCATTTTTGAAGCTTTATTTTTGGTGCATAAAGTCTATAAGATAAGCTTGATACTGTTCACCCTGCAGAAGAAGTGCTTAAGGGGAAATTAACTTTTCAGCTGGAGGTCTTACTGTGAGGGCAAGCTCTAACATTGGTTCCAGATATCAAAATCTAAAGAAAGTTGATATCCGCTTTCATGAAATTAATTAAAAAGAGCTAAGCATAGAAATTATTTTTATGAGGAGCAAGTCATTGATTGCTAGGAAAATGGACTAGGTCAGATGTTCTCAGATTGGCTTGTGGAATGCTGTGATGTTCCAGAGAGAGGTCAATAGTTCTCTAGTTTGGGCTGTGTTCCTCCTTTCTAGCTACTTAACTTTCTTAAGAGAAAAATAGGAAAGTATTCTGCTTTGCTTTTAAGACCATTTTTTCCACAAAACCTGTTTCTGTAGTTGCTAAAGGGTGTTTATACAATCATGATTGGGTATGAGACAGTTTCTTAATTTAGATGTGGTACAAGGTCTGTGAAAACATTTGAGGACACCCTAGGCTAATTCATAAAATGCAGTAAATTTTTTTCTTCTCCTTGATCCGTGACACTGCAATAGCCCAACTTTGTAAGTGGTGGCTTGTCTGATAAAGGTCTATGGGGAAGGTGGTTGGTTGGGTTTTGGTTTTGTGGTGTGGTTGTGTTGGGTCTTTTCCTCTAATTTGTTATTAATCAAACAGCTATTCTGTGTTTCCACGACATGAGTAATTCAACAGCGGTTACAAAAATTGGAACTACATGGTGTAGCAACAGCCTGTCCCTCAGCTGTACTGTTTTATGCCCCACCTATAGATACTTGCATATAGGTTGAAGAGAGGCAGCGAGCAAATGTCAAAGAGCCATCTCATTCCATTCTCCTTGGCTGGCAGGATGGACAGTTTTTTGGCTTCTTTCAGATCATTTGATGTAAAGGTCCTAAATCTTCTTGTTTCATGGTTACAGTAATAGTCCCTCAAGGGAAAACATCTTTCCAAGCAGTTTGGAATTAGATTTAGAGGAGCTTTTCTCACAGGAAACAAGTTCACAGCTTGAAATTGTTTGCCATATTTGAGATGTACGTGGTGTTCCTTTACACAATTTGGAGATTCATATGTCACAAGAATTTTCGGTTGTTTTCAGCTTTACCATTATGCCTTTTCCCATGCATTTTTCTATTTTAAACTGATGATTGTAATGATATAGTAAGTACTATTGATAGTGGGAGATACAGCAGTATAAATTTTAAATGGTTTTTGTTAAAATTTCTGAAAAAAAAGTTATTCAAATATAAAAAGATAGAATAAGGAACCCAAGCATATTAAATAGATATGTAATGCGTTAGATAAGTTACCTGTTCTTGTATCATACGTAAGCCTTGAAATACCATTTTTTTCATAAACTTAGATAGCTAAATAATCATGATGTACCATTTCTCAAATAGCTTATTTTCACTTTTTCCAGTATAGAGATGTTTAGAGTTTTGAAATCAAACAGTCTTATATCTTTAGCTTGAAAATCTCTCTAGACACATTGCACTCTGTTACGCTGGTTATATTTGGCTGACACTTTAGGAATTGCAAAGATAACAAGCAATGGAAACTGAGAGTCAATCAATTTACGGGAAACCTGCCAAAATAAATCACATTCTATCAGAAGAACATAGTGTAGTTAATGTAAATCTGGGGAAAAAAGCATACATAAATCCTCTATTTCAGAAGTATCTAGAATGATAAGTTTCCCTCAGCCTGATATGAAAATAGAAGTTCTGATTATATTTCAGAAGTTAGTGGTCATCATAATTTCATGTGTGCTGATACAATGGATATTGGCACAGGTGATGATAGTACTGAATAAATTAATTTAGCCACTTGAAGCAAAGAATTACTTTGTATAGAAATCCACAGTTTTCTGGGAAGTACGGCAGGAAGTTCTTCTAGTCTAAAGGCAGGAGCTATCAATGCAATGAATCAAAAATACATGCATTCCTAAGGATCAGTGAGAAGAAATATATGGGAAAATTTTTTTACAGGAATTCTGGTAGTGCTTTTGGTCAAGCATTCAGAGATTCCTGGCTGCTCTTAGATTATTTATTTATATACACACACAATCTCACACACACACACACACACACACATATCTTTTTTTTTTTTAAGGTTAAAATCACGCTGGGCTGTACATTGTGGACCAAACTCTGGCCCTACCCTTGTTTCTATTCTCCACTGTAGCTCTATAAATGGATAGAAGAAGAGTGCTGCCCGTGTGGGAACTGAAAAGAGCCTACTATGTGGTGTGGTCTGTGGGACCACGCAGCTCTGGCAAGGATAGCCGAAGGAATAACAAGGTTGGGAAGAAGGGGACTGGTGCACTTGGCATCACAGTAATTGCAGGTTGTGGACTGCCAAAGGCCAAGTCTGATTGGGTAGAGCAAGTCAGAGACACCTTTGCCCAGTGTCCTGTTGCTGTGCTTCTCACCTGAGAAGTACAGTACAGAGAATATGCGCTGATCTCCAAGGATTTAAAAAATGGATGTGTAAAAGAATGAAAATCAGGAAAAAAAAAAAGGTTTGTAGTAGTTGCGCACAAGATTGCAGAAGTGATCTAATTATTCATTTACCTTTGTGTTAGTCTGAAAAGTTCTTTAATTATATACCTGTCTGTACTGGGAGACAGAAAATACAAGCATAAGAAGCTGGCATTTGGGTCTGTAGGATATGCTGCCATTTAATTTTGGCTGGTGCAGTGGAATGAAGGTTAAGTATTAAGCCTAAAATACACCTTATTACAAATTATGTAGTCAAAACGTATGAAGAAAAACTGCCATCCTTCATTTTTGAAGATGAGCATTTCAAGTTTGGCTAGGTTGAAAGACAGATATGAAGTCATCTTGATAATTGTCAATGGGAACTACAGGAAATACATATCCTTTAAAAAATAATTAAAAAAAAATGTTCTGCAACCAAAACTATTTTTTAAAAAATCCATATAGTACCAATGACTGTCATGTTTTTAGCACAAAATTTCCATTTAAGCCATTTGCTGTACAAGGCTCTTGAATTTTTTCATTACACAAAAA